GGGAGGTCAGATGACAAAAGAAAAAGGTTTGAAATGCTGCGTTTCCTTACCGTGCATAATGCATGTTTTCCAGTATACCTCTGTTCAGCTTTTGAACGTCTCTGGCTTTCAGCATAAATAACTTCAGATACAGACAAAGCTCACCAACACCATCCTTTCAAATTAGGAAGTTACTTATATTTACAGACAGCAGTACTTAATGTGCTATATTACCAAAAACGTATATTACCAAAAACTGGGATTCTAGGATCTACTCAGTATGGTAGAGAGGTTCCGATTGCTTTGTACTAACCTGGCAGGTCAGTCAGGTCCACCCTCAATGTCACATTATAAGGGACAGTGATCAGTTCAGAATGTAAGAAGAGGAGTCCCATAGACACAGGTGTGTTGGGAGCAGAACTTCCATGGTACGACGTAAGCCCAACCTTACCTGGGTCAGGTGCACTGCTAGTTTCATTCCCTGTTTCACAGGGAGGCCTTACAGCAGCCTTTCAGTACTGAGAGGGAGCCTATAAGAAAGCTGGCGAGGGACTTTTTACAAGGGCTTGTAGTGCTAGGACAAGGGGGAATGGCTTTAAGTTGAAAGAAAGTAGATTTAGAGTAGATATGAGGGTTAGAGACTGGAACCAGTTGCCAGAAAAGCTGCGACTGACCCATTCCTGGAAGTGTTCAAGGCCAAGATGAATGGGTCTTTGATCAATCTAGTGTAGTGAAACTTGTCTCTACCCATGTCAGGAGGGTTGGAAGTAGATGGTCTTTAAAGTCGCCTCCAACCCAAACCATTCTATGATTCTACAATTCTATGATTCTGTGCTATTAGCATCCAGTGCAGTGAATGAGTGGTTTCCTTCAATTATCTTAGATTGTAACTTCTGTTAAGTCATGTTAAAATGTAGCATTTTGATTGTAGGGTTAATTTCACCAGAACAGAAAGGAGCAGTTATTAAATGCCTCCCTTTCAGTAGAGGCAAGATGAAAGCATTATCAGAACAGTTTTAACAACTAATTTATAATCTGCATTATTTTGCATTGTATTGTAGCACACACTTTTGTAAACGCTTATTTAAAAGAGAAAATCCAATTCTAAGTTTCAACAGAACAGCAATTCACATTAGTAGTCTTCCTTTCTTGATGAATGTGTTTCTAATGTATATTTTGTACAACTTCTTCTGAACTTAAAAAATTCATGCCTAACTTCCTGTTCTCAGGAAGTTCTGTCTTCAGTGTCTGCCCCATATTAAGCCTTGTTTGTATCCATAAATTAGCTGCTTATCTGCTTTGCCTTATCTGCAGGACACAAATGTGTACACTTCCTTGAAGACAAGGGGAAGAAAATATGGCATTGAAGAGAGCAGCTTAATTCACTTGCCTTGCAGAGGGAAGATTCAGGGATCAGCTTTGTGTTTCAGTACCTGAGATGAACACTTCAACATGCCACTAAAATCTCTCATATATGTTGCTTATGTATATAAGGATCTGCACTTGATTTTATTAATTTACATGTTATTTTTACTATGGGATTTGTAAGCCTAAAGCACTCAATTGTTTTCCTTTTTTTTTTTTTTTTTTTGCAATCCTATCCTTGATCTGTATCTCGGACTACAATGTATTGTTTGGATTTATCTAGGGTAGATTTGTATGTTATAGCACACCTATTTCACATAGTTCCACACACTTTTAATGAAGGAATGAACACCAGAGAAGAGGGATACAGATAATCCTGTCTCCCAGCCTTACTGTTAAGCCTGTTTTGAGTAAACAGGTGATAAACTGTCCATATCCTTTTTTCTTCCATCTATTGGCTGTGCCATTTTCTCCTGCAAACAGTGCTGAAGTTAATAGACCTAGTGGACCTGTCCATCCCCCAAGGGGATGGCTTGCACCCATCCCTGATGCTGGTGCGGGCAAATGGAAGTATGCGTTACACATCAGTAGTGTAAAGGCACTTCAACCTACCTAAGGAAAACACTAGGAAACCACAGAGCTGCTGCAAGGCACTGTTACCTCCATCACCTAAACAAAATGGAAACTGCTGAAATTTTTTGTCATCATCAGTGGCCAGTAGGTAGGATCAGATACTGCTAATGAGAACTTGTTACCCCATAAATGTTCACAGTATGTTATGGCCTGAAAATAACCAGACATATTACAAGAGGCTTTGTTTGGACTAGGGCACACGTGGTTTGTTTTCTAGACTTGTTGAGAAACCAAGTAAGTATACAAAAGTTCCAGATAAATGTTTAAAGGACTGCAGTGGTAATGTAGGCCCTAGCTTTCCAGTGAGGAAAGAGAAAGGAATGTCTCTGCATTCCTGTGTACTTCCCATGGTGGTTGCTGCTCCTCTCTGACATAGCTAAACTGGAGTGGAGATGAAGTCAACCTGCTCTGGCTAAAAAGCCAAAATGCTTCAGGGAGAAAGTGATCTGTGGAACTGGAGACCAGGCCAAATTTTCTGAATCTTTGGCTCCTTCTTGCAACAGGGCAGCTATTCACCATCCCTCAGATAAGGCCTGAGCAAAGAGCAAGAATGTCCTGGTAGAGATTCACCAAAAACCACTCAACAGCTTTGCTAGGATGGGCACTATTTATTCCATAATAAACAGTTGTCGCTGTAAGTTGCTTGTGTAAGTGATGGTTTTCTAAAGGACATACTACATTATTAGCAAAATAGATCGCATGGTGGAAATGGGTTGTTCATAAACTAATCCTATCACTAATCGCAGAGCTATGGTATAGTTCTCCAGGCATCTACTCTGGAAGAAAACTGGGATCTAGCTGTACAGTTTGTGATGTGAATTTTAGAGTTCATTGCTTCTTCGTATTTTCCTTTAAGTCATCTGTTCCCCATTCGCTATTTACACACCTCTTGCCTGGTCCCTCTCCTTCCCAAATTACAATGCAGTTACCGTGGTTCAGTAGCTGTGGGTTAGAACTCAGATTTGCGACTAATGTTTCTAAAGGTTTTTTAAGAAAGTAATTTTTCAATCAGATTTGCTAATTTTTACGGGTATTTTCAGAAGACTTTTTTTTTTTCCTAAAGGTGCAATTTTAGTTTCAAGATTTTCATTAGTGAATAGTGAAATGCTGCACTGCTAGTTGAATTTTTTGTCATCTTTCAAAAAGAGGGGAAAAAAGATTATGTGCTAAAATTTTCAGTAATGTCCTTAGAGCCTTGATACGTTATTTTTCCCAAGCTTGTTAAGAAAATTCTCATCTTGCACACTGAAAACAAAAACCACTGGAATATCTTGTACGGATAATTCTATCACCTCCACAGGCTGATTCAGTGGTGTACATGTGACTATTTCACATTTGGCTACATGTTTAAGTGAGGAAGGTGCAGCAAAGAGTTTCAGTTTTAGAAGGTGGTAGGAGCATATCAGTCTCTCCAACCATCTGTACAGTTGTCAAATTTCTTGTTTTGAAATCCAGGCTAACCAAGACAGTTTCTCTCATAGCTGTTCCTTTCCCATCCATAATTCTCTGTAACAGTAGCCGGCATCATCTGCAGTGGGATGTCTGCAACTGTTCATGGGCTACTATTGTTATTTCATATAAACACACCGCAGTAACCTTTTCTCAGATAATGCTTGTCATTATTGCCTCCCAAAAATATAACCCAAATATACAATATTTATGCCTGCAGTCAGTTGAAAATTTCAACATAATGAAATTGTGGACTTTTATAAGGTCTTTGTTGTTCCAGAAATATAAATAGGATGAAATTCAGGCTTGATATGCAAATATAGTGAGGGTTGACATAACTGTAAGTTCTTGCTGTATTCAGTCATGAGAATAATGACTGCCATGATCAACATTAAATGGAGTTCTTTGCCATTATGCAATTATCAGATTAAAAGAGACTAAACCACTGCCCTTGAAAGCTGCAAGATTGCAGCTCATGGGAGTTAAAATCAAGGCTGGTGATACTGCTTTCTTCCAGCACTTAGTAATTGGCTGAATTTAGGTGAAGTTTATTACCTGAAAAATCCCAGGGAGACCAGAAATACAGTGTTACCTGAAAAGAAACATAATGACAACTGTCTGGGACAAATTTTTTTTTGTTGTTGTTCGTTTGTTTTTTTTTCTTTTTTCTTAAAGCTTCGAAGATGCCACGGTCTTCACTAAACAGCAGTCCCAGAGAACAGAGTAGATAAATTCTGATTGACGAATTCAGCATTTCCTTCTCAGAAATCTGAAATAAAGACTGCCTTTCTGAACCATTCCTCTCCTGAAGTGTGACGGATCTGTGCAGAACTGTTCTGTTCTGAGTGTCTGAACAGTTTATTCAATTGGCTATTTGTTTCCTGTGTTTCTTTTACACTTAGCTAAAAGACATTATCACTGTGAAGGCTAATTTGTGGAGGCTGCAGATCCTGACCCATGACTTATTTTTGTGTCAGTGCCTTTTGTTTCAGCATTTTTGTGAGGAAGTATCAGAGCTGGCTGTAGCTGCATGAAGAGAGAGAAGACAACTTCTTTCTTGAGGAACATGAGATACCAGTTCACAGGAGGTTATAGGTACTAGTGGATTACTTGTTGCTCTCTATTTTTAATGAACTTCTTTAGCTACAAGAACCAGCAATGCCACCCATCTGGGGAGACTGCCATACAAAGGCGCATGCTTTGTGGAAGCAATTTAGAGAGGATCTGCAGTCAATGCTTATGCTTTCCCCCTTGCTGAAATGGCAGCTACAAATAAAAGAAACTTCCATCCTTTTAAATGAACACACTGAGAAGTATGTCTGTCTTGGCTCAAACTGGGGTCTGATATTGCCTGAAGTAAGGAATACCTGAATGACACCTGCTCTTAGAGGTGGAAACTACAACATTCAAAATGTCTGTAAGCACAGTGCAAACCTTTTGGTTTTCTTTGAAGCTGAACTAAAGGTAGAACTAGAGCAGCTGGACATCTTAGAGAAAAGCAGCTGCCATTGCATAGTTGCTTTGTTGCTTTGAAAGCAAGTGACCATAAATAAATGCTCCGGTAAGAACAGATGTTTTGAACTACATCTCTTTTTTTTTATTGCAAAACAATTGTTACAGAAATTTCAGAAAGTTCTGCTGCAGTAATTGCCAACTTCTGCTTTTAATTACGTATCTAAACACAGTCTAAAAGTGCATTGTGAATCCAGTAGACCTTTGGAAACAACCATTTTCCCTAGTGATATACATTTAGAGAAATCATACTTGAAAAGCTTTATATTAGTAGGAATTTGTTTAAAATGACATTTTAATAATTTTTCTCCCTTTATAAATGATTGTTATACACTTACAAATGATAGCCCAAATAATAAATGATTAAATAGCTATTAGTATAGTATATTCCAAACACTGTTCCAGACAGCAGCAGCAGCATATAGACTCTCCTCATGTACAACAACTGCAGTGGTGGAAAAAAGATACAACTTTAACATAATTTACTCTTCTGCAGGCTTAAATTTCATTTCACAGCCAATTCTCACTTCTGTCCCTTTCTCTTCCTACCAAATACTAAAATAAACAAGAGTTATCACTTCCCTGCAGCAGAAACAGCAGCAATTTCATAATCAAACATATTTTCCTAATAGCTTTTTGAAATAAGTACTGTGTGGCTCTACAAGAGATCTGAAAGCATACAGCAAACATTAAAAGATCAGACACTGTTTCATAACTGGTCTGGCTCAATGGCTCAGTTATTAGGCATCCTACTTGATGATGACTTAGGATAATCTGTGTCATGACTCAATATAGAGTTAGAAACACAGAATAAACCCATCCTCTGACAAAATTTAGAGTACTCTATTGAAATCTGCAGTGGATTTTCTGCAGATTCACACCAGCATCACTAAAATCATAATTGTAGTTGATCTCAGAAGAGAAGCCTGTGTGATCTTTAGTGTTCAACCTGTGATTGCCCATAAAGCACGATAACTTTACTGGGGTGCAGAAACTCCATCCCTTCACATTCAACATTATGCTTTCATGCTTTTATGACAACGTGTGGCAAGGCCAGTGAATAACACCTAGAGGAATGAATGTTTTTGTTAGGTAAGCAGACACCCCCAACACTTTTATTTATTTCTATCCAGTTTGAATCATGCTGTTGTTTGAGGTGGACGAGGGAAAATTCATGCTAGGAAGCTTTCCCATTTCTTTTGAAGAAGGAAATCTATACTTGGTATCTTTTAACAGAACTGAAAACGTGGCCTTCGTTGAAACAGTTGTGCATATTTGTGCAAAAATGCAAATATACGGTAATTTTGTAAGCAAGTGAGATACATCACAACTACTTGAGTATTCCTAGGGAAATCCAGGAATGACCAGCTCACATCTTCCCTTCTGGTGATTATCAGATCCTCTTAAGTATCTAACCTGAGCAACATTACAAAACATTTATGCTTGTTTTGAAAATTTGTACCATGTGTTTACAGTGAATTTTGTTTCACTGTCTCCCTCTAAGCTAATACTTTTGACAACTTTTCCTCTCAGGACAGATACTTGGTTGCTCCAACTGCAGTCATTGAACTAAGGCTGTGTGCTGCTACCAGCACTTCTTTTCAGCAGGTATTTGTGTATTTGCATTTTCCATGCACTGGCAGTTCCTAAGAAATGAATCATTTTCTTCTCATACAAAAAATACACCTAAGATATTTATCCCCTGACAAAAGGCTATCCATTCCACAAAAGGTACAAATCAGGTTTGTTGTTTTTTTTTTTTTACCAAAATTTTATAAATGGAAAATGAAAAAAAAAAAAAAAAGGAATCTACGTCTGGAACCCAGAGGGATTTCCTTATGTGGACGAATGGACGTTTTGGTTTTTAATAATATTTTCAAATTATCCCCTCACTGCCATTTGTTAACTGGCACTTGTGCTAAGAACAATAATGTAGCACCTTATCTCTTCCAAAAAAAGAGAGCCAAATGTCTGAGCACTGCTGTAGGTTCGCATTTTGTGTTGAGTATTTCAATTTCATAAAATACAATTGTAATTTAAAAAGAATAAAAAAAAATCACTTACTTTGCTAAAGATCAAACATAATGGAAATAATGTAAACATCCAAAAGCTTGAATTCATTCCTAACTGGATTCATCTTTACAGGCAGGCAATAGCAAAATGTTAAGTCTCATAGTAGTCCAAAGAAACTCATGGAACAATGCATGCATTTTCATTGACACAAAAGAAGACTGGACTGTAAGGAAGAGAAACTACTTCAGTCATATCACACTGTTATTGTGAAAGAATAATGTGCTATAATCCAATACCTAGGACAAGTGTATACCCCAACTGCAGAATAGCATCACTTAAACTGGAAACAACAGAACAGATTACTATAGGAAAATATTTATAAAATATTGTACAACGCTTCCTCAGTTGACCAACATATGTAAACAAAGAGCTAAGTTCATTTGAGATTCAAAATATTATTAAAGTTCATTTATAATCTTTTGCATAACATGCCAGTTCATCTTTCACACTATCACAACTCACCTGTCAGAGCCCAAATTGGCTCATTAAAGGTTTATATATCAGCTCACACAGACATTTAAGTGGAGCTATACAGAGAAATGTGTGAAACAAACCAAACACGCACTGTGACCAGAAATGCATATTCCATATGTAAGCTAATAATTGGATAGTGGAACTTAATGCGCGATGCAACATGTGCTATTTTAATTGAATGTTACAGATCTACAAACAAGACCTCATAATGTGATATGAATACTGTCCTGTAACGTTCACTAATAGTACCACATGTCACAACTATACTGGTTTATATATGGGAGTTATGTATATATGTGTGTTTATATATATATATTTCATAAGCTATCCTTTGATACAGAATATGTCATATGGCACATGCTATAGCTACATGATGATGGATGGTAAGACTTCTACTTTCACTAAATGGTCGTAATGTTGGGAGTGGGAAATCTGGTCCCATTGCAAGGAAAGGGTGTTTAACCAACAAATTCAGAAAGGAGCAGTTTAATGCAATTTGTAAAAACTAGGTGAAGATAAAATAATCTAACATCCATCATAATATATTCTATAGACACCATATTGTAGAATAAATGGGAAACATTCAGAAGCAGTAGTGTTCCGACATCTTGCAATCACACTTTTAACATCTGATTTTACATTTTATAGATAATGGCAAATTTTAAGAGGTAAATAAAGTGTCCTGTTTCATTTTACCTGGAATGTGTGCTCCAGATCAATAAAGTGCTGCATCCTGAACAGCTTCTGGGTTTGGCAAATTCCTTTACCCTGACAAACTAAGCAATGAAATCTATTCCAGAGGACAGCCCTAAACCTTGAACTAATTCACTATGCATTGCTGAGGAATTTCTACTGAATCTGAAGTTCCTCTAGAGTCAGCCAGTATTACGGTGACAGTGGAAGAGTCCATGAACAGTTTCAGCAGACATTCGTAAAAGTAACAAAGAAAACAAAGTGAGAATATCCCCCTCTACTCACCAAGGATAGACATATTTGGAGAAGCCTTAGGAGAAGGCTGCTATCAAAAGTTGGCACATTTGAAGCAGATTGTTAAATACAAGTTCCTTTGCCCTAAGACATTTTGCTATTCAACAATCAGCCTGTCACAAGCATGCTTCATAATGCACAGAAAGGTTTCTGACCTTTCTCAGTGTTGCCATGTGACTGCAATGCTGCACATGGATGGCAAGGCAATTGCATAAACACGGTGTCTTGGTGGAGTTTAGCTCATTGAAAGCCTGATCAAACAGAAGAAAGCAAGGAACACGGTGGTGCAGGAAGTATGAAACAGATTGTGCTTAAAGTCCCCATGCTGCGTTTCTTTATTTCCTTAACTTTCCAATGTAGTGACTCAGGAACTAAATATTTTCATCTTCTTTGCCTCTTTTCTTGAGGCTGATAATTATTTTTATGTTTGGGTTTGTTGCCTTTCAGACTTAGCTCTCATATGGTGCTCAAAGTCTCCAAGGGTGAGCTCCCAGTTAGAAAATATCAGCCTGCATTTTCAAAGCTGCGTTAGAGATTTAGAAGATAATTTCCATTTAAATAATGGGAAGTATGTACTCCAATCACATGTTCATTTTTAATAACAAAAAGAAGTTCGTTCTACACACATGTCGATCTGTGTAGAGATGTTTTAATTTTTAATAGCATTAGCTTCAGCTCTTTACAAGCTTAGAAGTTGTGATGTTACAAAGGATATGAAATTTTAATTCCAGTTTCCGTTTATGCTTTTCCACCCTTCTCCTGTCTTCTGCATACTCTTCCACCTGTGACCACTGTGGTATCTTCTAATGAGACATTTGAAATTCTGGTTGACATTATGGACCCTTGGAAGATGTATGGGGTCAATGGAATTATGACTATCTTCAATCAAAAGCCATAACTAGATAGATTTTAGCCTACTAAAATGCACATTATGTAGTATGCTGCTGAATGGTGGAATCCTAGTCTCAACAGATGGCTTTTGCTGTTTACAGACATGTACAGTTTCACTTTGGTCCTTTAACTTACCTTAAAAGCATATACACTTTTTAGTGCTATCCAGTTCTCTGCCAAGAACATTCCCCCTTAACCAACTTCAGTCTAATTGCATTAATCTGGACTGAGACTGTTTGATACATCTTGTATACTTTGAAATGTTCAATAATGGCTGTGTTATCATGAAAAAAAAAAGGTGCATATTTTTAGGAATAATGTAAGTGAATTATGAGAAAAATTGGCAGCTCAAACAGAACAGCAAGAAGAGCCTGGCAGCAGCCTTGTGGACAGATCTCCCCAGGTTGTATACCTAATGAAATGGAGCAGTGAGAACCTGACAATATTACAGTGCTGTGCTCTGATCACCCTGTTCTTACTGTTCCATCACATCCTTTGATTTAGTGAGACAACATACTGATGACAAATGTGGTTAAAAAAATAAAAATATACTATTCCACTTAATTACATTCATCCTGAGCTTGCTCAGCTGCACTAGAATCTAGAATGCCTGTTTTATACAGGTTATCACCTGATATTTTAACATAAATCTTCCCTCCATTTAAGTTGCAGTACAAAAGACATTTCATTTCCCTTTCTGCTCTTGAAAATACAAACTTTTTGTGGCACTAGAAGTTGATACAAAAAGAGACAAGTGAACATTATGGTTGTTATCTTGTTCATTTTTCTTCATCTCCAGAAGTGTGGGATGCATGGGATTTGGGAGACTTTAGGTTTGTTTGCTGCCATTTACTACAGAAATATATGCTTTTCATCAGCCATCACAATGGTGAAACAGATGAAAAAGAAGCTGTGATTGAAGTTTAGAACATCTAACTTGTACATGTCTTTTGCCAGTTAATTCCTGCATCCTGAAAACTTTAATAATGATCAAAGACCTTAGGATGCTTTCTAATAAAAGGCAGATTTCTGAACCTACTAATTCATTTCTTGTGACTTCATAAAGGGGCTTGTTATAACTGCTGTTTACTGAAAACTTTATAGAGCTTTAATCCCTCCCTTCTTCCTTAAGTGCAAATGTCAACTGGGTCAAGATGCAGTAACTCAGTGGGCAATGCTGAGACCAACAATGTGCTCTCTTGACCAGTGCCTAAAGCCAACTGGAGTTGGCAAAGAGTGACAAGAGGGATTTTTTAAGTTCTGCTGAGAAAGACGGACTGGAGAGCAGGTGACCCTTGGACTGCTGGTGAGCTTTGTCTAGGCCTAGCTGTGCTTGTTTTCAAAGCTGCGGAAAGCTCCCATTCTGGACAGTCTCCTCATGGACACGTTGTCCCCCCTGCTCTCTGGCCTTGAGGACTTACTCCTCTGGAAGGGGTTTCGCGGGCCTGTTGCATTTCGCTGTCTGTCAAGTTTGTCACTGATAGAGTAGCTCTTTCGTGTGTGCTGTGCATATAACATGTTGGACTCCTCTGCAGAGTAGCTGTTAGCCCGCTCTATTTTAGGAATTGGGATGCTGTTGGGCAGAGCTCTTGTAGCATTGCCATCTTGAGGAGATAAGGGGATCCCCTTTTTGTCTTTGGCCTCAATATCCTCATGATCAGAACTCGGGTGGCTTAGTTCAGCTTCTCTCTCTGGGTGGCAACATCCCAAGTCCTCCACTTTGCCTCCAAGACTTCCCGGGAAACTGGCCCTCTCTGCAATGGCCTGGGGAGCACTCACACACCTTGTGTCAATACAGTCCGTAATACTTGTGTACTCCGCAGTCTTGACTGGGACACCAAGGCTGCTGAAGCAGCTCCGAGATGGAGAGAACATAAAACTGTGAGATTTCACAATTGGTGTTTCTTCTAGAATAAATGGAGTTGTAGCCAGATAACGACTGCTTTTAGATCGCTCTAAAGCATGATACAATGGAGGGTCTGAATCCCAGGGGATTTGACAATCTGTAATTTGTGAATAGTCTGAAGAAAATGCTCTTGTTTCTATTCCAGAGGTTTCCTCACAATCAAGACTCCTGCCAGAGATTTTTTCACCAGGTGTACTGCTAATGTACGCACTGTTAGCCAAAATGGAAGAGGCTATGTGAGCCTGCAAAGCTGCATCTCCGGTACCAAGAATATTTATGGAGCTGTCGAGAGGCTCCGTGTCAGAATGCATCTCATCCATGGCAGAAACGTAGATGTCAATACAAGACGAAGGCCTTCTGGAGTCTGGGGCAATTGACAAAGTGCTGGTAGGGGCTAAAGGAATCTTTCCTTCTTTTGCTATCGAGTGGGAACTGATAGCTCGATGCAGGCTTGGAGACCTTTCCTTAAAAATGCTTTCAAACTTTTCCAGCCCACACTTGTCCTTCATGTTTGTTGCATAGAAAGAGTGGCTTCGCATGCGGGGTGTGATCGTAGGAGATGTTGGGGACATGGATTCCTCTCCAGTGGGATCTATGCTTTCTTGAAGCTTGTAAGTATTTCCTTCCTGGCTATTGAAGCTACTCTGCCTCACAATGTAGGCTGCATCAGTACAGTCGGATGAGGTCCTGGATCGTATCTTGGTTGTCTCACCTCTTTCTATGCCAGTCAGTTTTTCTAGGGCGATCACCATTCGTCCCATCATATCTTCCAGCTGAGCAAGCCTAATGTCAACAGTCTGCAGAGATGCCTTCATGCAGTGCTCTCGCTCATTAACTTCTTCCAGTCGCATGGCCATGTTCTCTACCCTTAAAAAAAGAGAAGAATTAAACACATTAATTTCTACAAAGCAGTGAAGTTCAGCTAATAGGACACCAAACCAGACATGAACAAATAGGTCTTAAAATCCAAAGCCAGTCTACACTACCTTATCTGCTTCAAAACCCTGCTAAAAAAGGTTAAGCAAATAAATACTGCTTGCTCAGGAAACTGTTCCAGTGGGTTAAACCAAGGGTCTCTGCTGTGTAATGTAAAGGGAAATTTGGGTGTGCTGATGACACCAAGCTGTGTGGTTTGGTTGATACATTGGAGGGAAGGGATGCCATCCAGAGGGACCTTGGCGCTCTTGAGAGGTGGCAAATGCCAAGCTCATGAAGTTTAACCATGACAAGTGCAAGGTCCTACACCTGGGTCGGGGCAATCCCAGGCACAGCTACAGGTAGGGCAGAGAAGAGATTCTCAGCAGCCCTGCAGAGGCCTTGGTCAGCGAGAAATTGAACATGAGCTGGCCCAGTGTGCGCTCGCAGACCAGAAAGCCAACCATAACCTGGGATGCCTCAAAAGGAGCATGACCAGCAGGTCAAAGGAGGTGATCCTGCCCCTTTACTCTGCTCTCATGAGACCTCACTTCGAGTGTTGTGTGAAGTTCTGCTGTCCTCAACATCAAAAGGACATGGAATTGGTGGAACAAGTCCAGAGGAGGGCCATGAGGATGATCAGGGGGCTGGAGCACCTCCTGTATGAAGATAGGCTGAGAAAGTTGGGGCTGTTCAGCCTGGAGAAGAGAAGACTGTATGGAGACATCATAGCAGCCTTCCAGTATTTGAAGGGGGCCTATAGGGATGCTGGGGAGGGACCGTTCATTAGGGACTGTAGTGATAGGACAAGGGGGAACGGATTAAACCTTAACCAGGGGAAGTTTAGACTGGATATAAGGAAGAAGTTCTTTACTGTGGGGGTGGTGAGGCACTGGAATGGGTTGCCCAGGGAAGTTGTGAATGCTCCACCCCTGGCAGTGTTCAAGGCCCTGTTGGACAGAGCCTTGGGTGACATGGTTTAGTGTGAGGTGTTCCTGCCCATGGCAGGGGGGTTGGAACTTGATGATCTTAAGGTCCTTTCCCACCCTAATCGTTCTATGATTCTATGATCTTACTGTCATTTAGGCACCAGTCTAACTCTTGTTCTACCAACTTCTCCAACACAACAGATTAATGTTATTGCAAGCACAGGATATAATTCCATAGTTTATATATGGAAAGCAGTTGAATTTTTCTCATATTATTAGTTATCTGAGCTGCTATTTGATTCTATGATTCTATCGCAGGGACTGTGTTATTACAGAAACATCACTATGATTTGCTGCCTCTTTGCTGCCAAAACTTCTAATTAGTTTGTTATGAATGAATTACACTTAGAGCAGACACCACATGACGTCCAAAGTTGTTCCACAGGCAGGAACACCACAGCTACTTGCAGAACTAAATAATATAATGAAAGTGGTCAATGTGCCATAGAAGGTAGGTAACATCCCATTTTTTTTTTTTTTTTAATGGTGTTTGTCCCAGGGTAAAACATAGCTAGTGCTATGCGGAGCTAAGGAGATAATTTCTTTGTTCTCTGATTAGTCTTTAGCTCATCTATATATACATATGAGCTCATAAATACATATATATATAAAAATAAAAAGTATAAGCTATTATATTGAATGTGGGTAATATCAAGTAAAGTATGCATAAAAACTGCAGGGAGGAAGTTCTGATCCAACCATACACAGCCTAGATAAGGTACACATGCTAAGACTGCTCCATTAGTGTGATTGTGCTTTGTGTAGTCTGTGTTAATAGGTTAGGGATTGACATGATGGCTTTTAAAGTTACTTGTCAGCTACCTATTCTAACATATAAAGAAAAAGATTAAAGTATTATAGGTAATAATTTTATGTGTGACCCTAATTTAAACTTCAGTATACCTGATCTGCACTACTGGTCTGTCTCATTTTAAAATTTTTTTTGATTTAAAGGTGAATTTTGTACTAATTCATATTGATGGCTTTCAACCATTTCAATTTTCTGGTTTCTAACACATCTCTACTAAAGGCTTTATATGGTGTCCCCTAGTTTTACACAGTGAAAATATCTTCAGCACATATGAAATTTCTTCTTGTAATTATTTTCTCTGATTGTAGCTCCTGTGGCAGGCCAGGGATCTCCATTATCTGCCAAAATAGTATAAAAAGCAACACATTTATATAGTTATCATTGTGTGATTTTTAAGGTTACAATTCTGGTTTTCCCATTCCTGTAGACACTGAAAAAATGAAGAGAAAAATAACAGATACCAAATGGCAGAATTTCTACACTTTTCTGTTCACAAGTCTCTTACTCTCTGCCTGTTGGTGCAATTCATACTCAAATATTAATCGGCACCCTGTCAATCATAGTCAGGGTTTCTGATGAGATAAGTATCATCTACTAGTTCTAGCTTAATTTCCACAAGGACAACTGACCTGGAACTGGCAACACCATAAGCACTCTTTCTTGCCCAGAAGGAAACCAGATTTTAGCAATGAATGAGTACTGGGCAGCATTTATGCCTTGTTAATTAATGCACAGATAGTCAGCTGGTGAAACACTAAGGTCTGACTGCCTCAGGGTAATGAGCAACAGCAACCTGCCTGCGCAAGAAAGAAGCGGGAGGAGTGTGACACCACTCCCTACAGCAAGTCTCACATTCCTGTGAAATACAGGCTTTCTCTGTTGAAGATCACGAGTTTTGAAAGCAGAAGCACAGCAAATCCAGTGCAAAGAAGTAACTGTATTGCTGTCACCAGACTTCAACAGAAGAATGATCAAGTAATTACAGGTAAGAAATAAACTAGCAGTTTCAAAGAATCTCATTCTACTCATCATGGCAAGGGGGTTGGAACTTGATGATCTTAAGGTCCTTTCCAACCCTAACTGTTCTATGATTCTATGATCTTGCTATCATTTAGGCACCAGTCTAACTCTTGTTCTGCCAACTTCTCGAACACAACTGACTAATTTTATTGCAAGCACAGGATATAATTCCATAGTTTATATACGGAAAGCAGTTGAATTTTCCCACATGCTATTAGTTATCTGAGCTGCTATGTTATTGAAAACCATTATAATTTTGAAATATCTATCAGCTAGTAATTGAATGCCTCATCACACATTCATATTCTGTAACAACTGTTCCAAGGTGATGAAGAGATGCAACATTATGATTTTAGGGTTGTCCAGTCCTATGGAACAATTTGAGAAACCTCCTGGATTTTACTTGAGAATGCTCAGATTATGGCCAAAAAGAAATATTTGCCCAGCTAAAGCTACCCAAGAACTGGAATGAATTTATTACATTCTGTCATTTTGTGAAGGTAAGAAGCTAACTGAACATTTTCTTTTTTCTTTTTCTTTTTCTTTCTTTTTCTTTTTCTTTGAAAGATGTATGCAAGTGAAATAATTCTTAATACAAACATAGCCAGCTGAATCATTGTGCTTGGTTGCATATCTGGTATCTGGAATATGAGTACAACTGTCCATAGTGAAATAAGTCTTGCATACTGTATTCACATGAGGGCTGTACAATGCTACTGAATGCAACTAATGCATCCCAAGAAGAACCTAGAGTCATTCCTTGCAGGTACACATACATGTATTGTTCTGCCTTCCCTGAACATGATCTATTAGCTACTGATGGAGGCACAGAGTGTAAAACCGGTGGTATTGCTGGCCAAGATGAAGAGAGACTTCTGAGTTACATATTCTGTTGGTTGCTGTGGAATTATCACAGATGTGAGTGCATTGATAGCTGTGGGAAATTTATGTAGAAACTCAACAAGGTAAGGGATACTGCAGTCTGGGTTCAGAAACCAGAGTTACAAAGAAATGTGCATAGATAACTGAAAAATACGTAACTGTATTTACAGTGGGTTGACCCTGACTGTAATATTACTCACAAAGAGAAAGCCTGAGTGATGGTGATCTCCAATACCAAAGCTACTAGCTGAATTTAGTTATTTTTTGTTATATATATTGCATGTGGCCACTCCCAGACCTTTTAACTATACTTATTCTTTTAACTAGTGATAATTTATATTAATTTAATGTTCAGCTCAATCATTCATCACACAGAACAGCACCACACTCTGGGGGTAATCCTACTACAAACATAATAAAATCACATCAGCCAAACACTGTGGACATAAAAGAATATGTTCTGGAGAAACACAATCATAATCTAGTCCTCAAAAAGTTTTATGACATGAAATCTTTTATTTTCCCATATTTTTTTATTATCTTGCATTCAGTGAATAGACAGCTAGAGCTGTATTCCCTTCAGCAATAGTTTTGAAATAAATTCTATTTCAAAATAAGAATGACCAAGTTTTGCTTTGCATTTTTTGCCCCATGTGTGTTGGAGACAGTTTAAACCTTTTGGGAATCTCAAAATACCCATGTATGTTGCCTTCATTGCACCTGTGCTTTTCTTTACAGCAATATTTATCCAATGTATGAGAAAGCACAAGCCATCCAAACAGATGGAAATGAAAACAGAAAAAGAGGAGGCTACACGTAAAATGTGCATTAAACGTCTTCTCCTGAAGCTCAAAAATTCCGAATAGTGAAACAAGCCTAGGTTATCTGAAGACAATATTCAGTAACCAGGAAATAAATAAAAGGCCATAACTGGGAAGCTGGCAAAGATTTTATATTACTTTTGATGAGCCTTTAAAATTATGGTTTGGGAAATGATAGTTTTTGCTGGCATTCATTTTGGTTATATTTAACTTTTGCAGGTCAGGTCATCAATAATGTAACTGAAATAATGATTTAATTGGAGTAAGTCACTCTTTTCAGCAGTAGACCAATTAACTGAATGCTAGTTCACAAGTCTCTTTTGTGAACCTATGTCTATTTTTAAGGTATGATTTGTACTTCAAAATCCTTTTCAGCTGCTGCAAAGACTGTAGACAATGAAAGTCACTTACAAAGGTATCTACCCGCTTGTTATAAGTTTCTGTACAATGGTTTGATTTAAAGAAACTGCTGACAGCAGTTCTCAAGCCTGTAACAGGCCATTGGTATTTTGCCTGACATCTTTTGGTAAAGCACTGCTGATGCAAGTGGTCAGCCAGTTTTCTTAGATGCAGTGGTTTCTGCAGGCTAAGGACACTGGGTTGTCCTCACTGCTTTACCATGTGGAGCCTAAGACCACTTAACTCTGTGACCACAGAGAGATGCTGCTGGATTCACAGACCTTTCCTGCTGTCACTCTGCATATGTGGCCTAGCCCAGCAGGCTCAGTAATGGCCCTTTTACCAACCCAGATCTATTTCTGTGCACTTCAGCATGCCATCTCTGAACTCAAGATAATAACTACATCTTAATTCACATTGATCCTGTTAGTGTAATTGCACTGCAAACTATAAAGTGTTAGGGTGCTGTAGTAATGAACACCATATAGTACCAAAGATGACATAATAGCATCTACCCCAGCCAGATTATCTGCTTTTTAAATACTGTTACAATGTGATTCTGCTCCCTTTGGAATCAACAAGAGGTTTTGCATTGGGTTTGAAAGAGTCAAGACCTGTCCATGTAGATAAAATACCTTCTGAAGAGATTGTTTTAGTGGCTTCATGCCAAATCAAGAAAAAAAATGAATTATTTTTTTTATCAAATTACACATGCCTCTGTGTTGGTCAAAATATGCCACTGAAAACTTCATGGTGATTAGAAAGGAAGGCTCTCCAGGAAAAGTTATGATTTGTCTGCTGCACTGAAGTGAATTTGTCCAACTTTGTTTTCCTCATGGGTCTCTGGGAGATTCACAAAGATTCGCCTAACCTTATAAATGCAATTAGGGAAACACCTACATCTTTGTACTGCTTTGTGTTTTTCTGACTAGTCAATCACTTCATCTGATGTGTATCACTAATCTGCAGCTACTCCCATGTGCTCATGACAGATTCTAGTTAGTGAGCTACTCCACCAAGTTATCTGGACACCTCAGTGGTATTTTTTTTTTAGAAAAGTAAGATGATTGCTGAACCAAAAAGGGCCCCCACTGGATGCCAGGGTGAAAGTAGGAACTGAAACTTCTTGTAGGTGAGTCAGACAAGGTGCTGCGGTCCTGACACAGCATAGCCACTGACTGCTTAGCTGAAATTGCTCATTTACACCCAAGCCAGTGCAGCAAGTAATGGGATGTCCTGTTGTTTTCCTGAGCTCCTAATCTGTCTCTGGGACCTACCTAGGCTGAGCTTCAGAGCAAGGCTCTCTTTCCATCTCCCATTTCCCTTCCAGTGCTAGATCCCTCTTCCAGGAGTACCGTGTTTTGCACCTATGATAAGCAGATGTTCTTCCTCCAAGCAGGACTGGGGGCACTCTGATAAATCCATGTCTGAGTAGGAGCTGCTCAAGCAATAGGTGAGCATATCAGGGACACATGGAGGGAAGGTAGTGAGCAGTCCAGGTCCAGGTGCAGGTATATCACACAGGGATTGTCCAGGACATCCCTTTTTGATCCTGTAGCCTGCACCTTCCTGCAAATGGAAGTTCTTCAGGGGGAACTTCACTCACATGTGTGGGGCTTTCTGGTTTGATTTGAGATTGTGTAAAGCTGAGTAAACTGGACAGATGACTAAACTGATATCTCATGCCATTGTGCTTGGTGCCTGGTCTACTGCTACAGGCTAATGACATTAGGAGACTGTAGTCTTGCATCTTCTATATTTTCTTTATATCTTGTTTATCATACAAAGATGTCTTTACATAGAAACTATAGTGTAAATCTGGATTTTAAATATTTGAATGTTCCACAGGTTAAAAACAAACAAACAAACAAACAAATGGTTGAAGTTTTAAATTAAGAACACTTCAAGGAAATCTTCCCTGGCCATAACTGCAGGCAAAATGTCAGACTTGGGCATCTAGTTTTTAAAATGTGTGTTATTTAGGATACTTAGGTATCTCTGATTTCTCACTCATCTTTTAAAGTATTCCTTCAGATCTTTGATGCAGTTGAAGTTGCCTTATGTGGTAAAGTACTGCAGTTGGTTTGGCAAGGAAATAAGAGAGCTATTATGACTGGAGAAACTGTGTTCACCTGGGATTTAATTGCTGCAAGTACTAGTAGTGTGTTTGAGTCTGGGAGGGGCCCCAGTACCTCATGGGGTCGCAACCCTTGTCTTCCTTACACAGCTGGGGCATACTGGTTTCCACATTACGCTGTTGACTGAGCTAAATGGATTTTTAAAGAACTACTTCTCTGTAGGGCTCAGGTGCTTGTCTTCATTTAGGGTTCATAATCTTGAACTCTGTTCTGGAATGAGGTGCTTTAGGCTATTTATTTAAAATAGAGAAAAGGGCTTTTCCTATGAAGAAGGTCCAGCACAGAGTGCAGAGACAGACTGGACTTCAAGGCCTTAGGGCACTTCCCAAATATGAAGGTCTCAGCTGGATCACTTATTTACAGAGGCTTCAAATGTGCCTCTTTTTTCCATGGTCACCAAAAGGAAAGCTGCGGCCAAACAGAGATTTGAACCTGAATTGATGACTTTCAGGTTAGTTTTCTGACCACTAGACTATGAGAATATAAGAAAAAAAGGCACACAGTTGGATGACCAACCAATTTAGCCCATGATTTTGCTTTGAAATACATGTAATTCTTTTGCCCTTATATTCTCCAGTCTAAGCATTTACTGCTCAGGAACTTAATGGACTCAATATGATCTCGGTGTATTTTGCAGTCCTTACTGGATTTTTCTTCCATAAACTTACCTAGTCTCTGTTTGAACCCACATGTACTTTTAGCTGGCATCATCAGCTTTGTTTAGACCTTAGCAGCTTTCAAGAATTTGCTCTGTTCCACTACTTACTGCATGGAAAAATCACCAATTCTGGTTTATTTTGAACCTGGGATTCTGCTAGATTTATCTGTTGCTTCCCTATATCTTTTTCTGGGAGAGACAGCAAGCAATTGATTTCTAGTCATCTTCTCCTTGCACTCGTAATTATACAGACCTGTGTAATTTCATTCTTCATTTGTCTCTTCCAGACCAACCAGAGCTGAATTACTTGGCAATTCTTTAAGAGGAAGTCAGTACATGGCTTACTATATTTCCCCTCTATTATCCTTTTCTAAAATATGTATTTTTAGGACTGCTGTTTTCAGTAATGCAGATAATTAAAGGATTTTATATCTACTAATCCTGCTCTGGGACAGATTTATTTCAAAACCAAATTAAAAAGGTGTTTCCTTGCCTAGAGAAAACATTTCTTAGTCATAGCTTCATCAGGAGCAGTGCTAGAAGGCTGTGTATAAGGAGAAAAGTGTGAACATCTGTGTAATCAATTACAATGACAACTCACCTGAACTCTATATTCAGTTTATTGTGGAGTATTCAGGCAATGGACTATTCAGTGGTTCATAATTATTTTTTTAATATCTGACAAGATATTGCCCTAAAATATTTATGGGTCCCAGTACTACGAATCAAACAACAAACTCTGTCCTCAAAATTTAACTCTGTTGCTCAGCTGCCATGCAATGAAAGCATATAAGCACTGCAGCAGATTAACAGATTTATGAATTTCTAGGACTGATCAATTTGAAGACTAGCAACTTCCATTAAATTAACACATTACCCTTGTCCTCTGTGCATTTCATTGCTGTAGGTGAAATATCTATTTCCTTTTAAATTGATGGCAGAATCCCTATTGCTTTCAATGAAACAAACTTATTTAGCAAAGCTATCCTGAGACAAGACTGAATGGCTAGTAGGTCAGTGCTAAAGCCATAGTTTTAATTTAGGAACTCTCATTTACCCTCCCACTGTGTTCTGACCACTTGTGCCCCTAAGGTTGTGCTTTAAGAACTGAAATGTAAGGATAATTTGTGTTTCTCACTATGTATGTCAGTTGTGTTCTAATACAACTGGGAAGATTCATGTTTTCAAATCTTTGACAAACATTGGAATATTTGCTTTAGCACAAAAAAAAAAAAAAAAAAAAGAGAAAAGAAATTCACCACCTTTTATCATTCTACATTTAGTTAAGATATTAAAAATACCTCATATATTTCCCTTTTAAGAAGAAGAAAGGAAAGGTGAGAATGGCAACAGAAACACATTTCCAGATCAACTTATAGAAAAAAACAGAAAAGTGCACCTTTCTGAAGTGACACGGATTCTTTCATCATTGGAAGAATTGAATCTGTCATCCTTTTCTCTAAAATATTCTTCTATGCACTGCTCTTCAAAATCATGGACTTTTTTCAGTTCATCCTCAGTTATGAAAAGTTCTGTGGAAACAATGGGAAAATGTGAATTTGGTAAAGATCAACACATGAAATTAACTACATTCCTTTTATTGTGGAATTCATAGAATAAACTTTCAAAAGCAGGGTTCAAATTTATCTGGCATTTTAATTTAATGATCTGCTGGTATGAAAGCAGATAGATACAGCTAATTGCACTTGCATTTCCAGTGCCATCACATGCCTCCAGCTCTCTCCTCACAGAAAAGTGGGCTGTGGCATGGCTAATATTGGGAAGAGATGCATATCCCTAAGCTCTCTGCCTCTGGCATGTGCATTGGCGGAGGTGGAGATCTTCTACTTTGAAGAACTAGATAAGAGAAAAGGAGAGAAAGTGTTATCAAAATAATCTGTCAGGGTTTCCATCATGTCTAACGGGGCTCATATTAAAAGCGATTGGAAAAACTACTCCTCCAGTTTGAGTCAGTGTCAAGCAAAGAACTTGTGTCTACAAAGTAATTACTTCTCTCCATCTCTCAGATTATCCCGGCAAAAAGTGTTTTGGGCAGAATTATGTGGTGTTTGCTCAAAAAGTAGAATGAATTCTTCGTGTTTTCTAAAGTAAAACTGAGATCTGGAAGTGCAATGGACTGTTAGAAGAATCCCAGCAATAACAGATTCCTAGCAACAGCAAAATCCATGTTCCTTTGAAGGAACAAAGTGGGGAGCAATCCCAAAAAATCCCAGAAAAATGTAGCCTCATTAATACCTGAGGAGAGCTAAGGGTTGGGGAATGCAGGTGAAACTGATTCAGGTGAGATTTTTGCAGTTAAAAATAGTTTTCTGCTGGAAAGGTTATCAGTGTGCTGGACTTAGCCTTTTTTCATGTCAGACACTAGATATTACCAAGGGCACGGGAAAGTGCCACTCTGTGAATTGTCTAAAGCTTACTTAATCCATAGTCTTTCTCATCCGGGTCACTTTCATGCTTCCGCCATCTGCAGCAGAGGTGTTGGAATATCATAGTCATATGGCTGAAAATGATCAGAGGTGGTGGGAGAACAGGTCTTTCGTGAAATGTCATGATTAGCTGATACCTTTGAAACTTCCACACTTGATTGGATATGGACTTGACTTCAAAAAATGTATTGCTAGAAGACAAGAGGAGGAAAACAACAAAGATCGAAATGGTTTTGGGTACTTTGCCAAAGCTGATAGGACAGCACCTTCTCTAGACGTATTTCACTATTAGTGGTAAATGTTGCTTTGCAAAAAGAGGAACAAAAGAAAGGAATAAGTTTGTGCTTCAGGAAAGCACAGTGGCAATCAGTCATTTTGGAGTATCTTACCACTGTACATCTGCTCTGCACAATCACGGAGTCTTATAACAACCAAATGAGACAGGAAAGTATGTTTATTCTTGTTTTTCCTATTAGGAGTGAATGATGCTACAACTGAACTTTAAGTATTTTGGCTTCTCTGCCATGATTTCCATGGAGTCTCTGTTGTTGGAAATGAGACAATGTGAAGAACTTGGCATTTCCCTCTATACCTGGAGACAAGCTACTCCCTCTGTCCCTCTCACCGTCACATCCTCTGAAAACGGGTCTTAGCCAAAGTCTTCAGTTTAGCAGCCTTCTTAGGCTTTGGGTAATGTGCATCCCCCCAAGTCTGTATTTGCAGTATATCACTCACTTGAAAACAGCAATAAGCAGGTTCACCAAAAGGATGTTTGCAACCAAGAGGTAACAGGCCATGATGGCAGGAACAATCCATGCTCCTGTCTTGCAGGGAGGTAGCTGGATTATTTTGCCATCTTCTCTGGTTTCATTTTGACCACAAGGAGCTGGGAACGAGATGCAAAATGGGAATGACTCTTATTTTTTTCAGTGCATTTTACAGAAATATTTAGATATATATAAAGGTTTGCCAGCCAAAGCAACTATCTTCCAAATAATAATTACATTGATGCTCCCCTCTAAGAAGTCTGCACCTGGTATCACAGGTTTTACAAGCTACAGTTCTTGTTATTGTGTGCTATTTGCCATGAATACCAAGATATTCCCCTCAGAAATTGCAGGAGACATGCCTGGTGTGACTAAGCTAATGCATTTTAGCATACAGCTAAAATATCATGGTATTCCGGTAGTAACTAGTGCCTGTGCAAATAAAATAGTCAAAACATTTAATCCTGGAGAAACCTTAGTATTTTTTAATTGGTGAAAGTTCTTTTTTTTTTTTGATTGATATAAAAATGTGATAAATAGCATAAGGATGTGATAATGTGACAAACAGTATAAGGAAAAAAGAAGGACATGAAAGTAGATTAAAAAGGAGACATTTATTACTGTGTGCACTACCCTCAGCCCTTCTGGGACATACTCATAATGACCCTCTGCTATTAAGGACTTTTGACTGAATGCCTAGAAACAGTGGGGGAGATTATCAAGTCTTTACTGTAACAGGTAAAGGGACATGTAGGCAGCAGAGTTGCCACCTGTTTCTTCCCCAAATGCTTTGGAACCAAAATGTTCTTAGTATTAATGTTGCAGAAGTGAAGCAAGGGCAGAAAAAACATTGCTAAATTGTTGCTTTTGATTATTTTTTACGTGCCTTCATGTGCTGTGGTGGGTGACATTCATATGCAAGCGTGGGTTTAGTTTATGTTTTTCTAGCCTCAGTCCTACTCATCCTAAACACCTCTTTAATCAGCTTTTCAAGCAAATAATTGAAGCAGCAGCTTACATATGCAAACCATCTTAGTAAATTTTGCACAGCACTACAGCTAGCTTCCCCTCTTCTCCATCAAAAAGAAGTTTTAACTGAGGGATTTTCAAAGTGCTCAGTACTGGCTCCATTCCTGCTGGTACCGGTGGGAGTTTCCCACTGATTTCACAGACAACAAAGTTCGCCAATGCCCTGTGTTTTGTAAAATTCCATCTTAAGTCAACAAATCCATGATTTCCAATACCAACTACTCCTTTTCAGAAAGGTCCTTCTGAAGTTGGTTCACAACTCAACTTTTACAAGCAGCTCTGTTATGTCTGGACACGTGGTATCATTAGTCCTTCTTACGTACAAAAATACATTTTATTGCTTTAACAAGCTGGAGGTACACAATTCTTTATTTCTCAGAAAGCATTATCTTCAGATTGTTTTAAGTCAGCGTTTACTTTCACGCTTCTTATGCTGCTGCAAGCAGCAGTTTCATTTGGACATTCAAAATGCTGTCTTCGAGTGGCTGTGAATATGTGGCTATGTGCACTTAGCCTCCACCCAGCAGAAACCGGGACATTGGATACTTCTTGGTATCAGTAGTCAAGTGCAAGACTTACATTTCTGCGGAAACAGTAACATGCTCACATGTTGATTCAGAGCTACAAAGTCCAACACAACACAGTACCAAAAC